GCTTGTTAATATACAGAGCCCGCCATAAGTATTGGGACAGTAAAGACAAAATTGCGCTCTTTGCTGTGGAGTCAAGAAATCTGTAAATATGATTAAAAAGATGAATATGAGACAAAACTACAGAATGTCACATTTTATTATTGGGTGTTTCAACACATAAATGTTTTACCAGCTAAGAAGATCAGCACTTTTAGAGTTCATCCCACTATCTGATGTGAGCGTAAGTATTGGGACAGTGTGATCAGCTGTGTCCTGTTTCATTAATTCTTCAGATATTTAAAGCAGTGAATGTGTCGTATCAGTTATATCCATTGCTTCTGCATTCTGAGTCTTACATTCGATGACGACACACACAAATGGCTTCTTCTCCTGCTATTGTTGTTTGCACCGCTTGCCACATGTATAGTTTCTCTCTCTCTGTCGGCAACGAGGGATTCACATGTGATAAATGCAGGGAAATAGTCAGGCTGACAGAGAAGATTTCAGAATTAGAGACACGCATCCAAACTTTAATTGAGGACAGTAAGAATGTGAGAGCTCCTTCAATTTATAACAATGTTTTCAGTATTTCTCAGAGGGTGGGCTTCAATTATAACTCGTCTGAAGTAATGGTGCTTCATATAACATTATCCAGAGTAGTGTTGTCAAAAGACCCAGTATTTCGGTACTAAGTCGGTACTAAAAAAATTAAAACGTTACGGTACCAGGTTTTCGTAAGTACCGGTTCTTGATGCGCCATCAGAAAACTATCCTCTTCCAGTGTTGCCAAGTCCGCAGTTTTCCCCGCGGGTTGAAAAACGACCCCATTAACGTGATATTTAGCCCCTGGAATGCGAATTTTACCTGGGGAACCCCGCCAAAACGTGCGTATTTTATCCCCGGAACGCGATTTTTAACGGGGACCCCCTCGAAACGTGAAACGTGATTTTTTGTTGTGAAAACCTGGCAACCTGGAAAAAGCAGTGGCGACCTCAAGAGGAGGAAACGGGAAACGCGACTTTTAGTTAAATTAGACAAGATGGGAATAAAAGGAAAAATGTACAACTGGATCATGGATTTTTTGATTAATAGGACCATACAAGTAAGGGTCGGAACAAGTTATTCTAGGACTTACTCAACAGATAATGGGACCCCACAAGGAAGTGTGTGTAGCCCAGTTTTATTTAACATAATGATAAATGACATATTTTCAATGATTGGACAAGGATTTGGTAAATCTTTATATGCGGATGATGGTGCCTTGTGGAAAAGGGGAAGAAATTTAGTATTTGTGGATAGTAGTATGCAGAAAGCAGTTAATGAAGTGGAAAAATGGGTAAATAAGTGGAGTTTTAGACTGTCAGTATAGAAAAAACTAAAGTGACATGTTTCTCAAAAAAGTAGAAATCACCCAATATTAAACTAAAGATTTATGGTCAAATGTTAGAGCAGGTAACAGAAATTAGGTTCCTTGGATTATGGATAGACTCAAAACTAACTTTTGCATCACATATTAATAAAGTAATAGATAAATGTAAAAAGGGAATAAATATTTTAAGATGTTTGGCAGGGGTAGATTGGGGTGCAACCCGACAGGCATTGAAAAGAGTATATTGTGCAATGATTAGACCTATGATTGATTATGGCAGCATAGTATATAGTTC